CCTTGTTGCTGCTCCCCGCTGAAAGATGTGCTGCTGAAAGTAAGTAACTTCAATAAGCCTCAGAAAACGACTGTCCCGCTACACCTCCACGCCAGGGAGCGCTGAAGCACTGACATCCCAGCCCGGCTGTCAGGAGGTGTAGCCACAACCCCAAAGCCCCCGCGTGCGTCAGGCAGGCGGCATCTGCAGGTGACCCGGGTATGTTCACGGCCAGCAGCACGCGCCCGCAGAGAGCACACGCTCGGCCTGAATCCTGATCCCCAGCTGGAGCGGAAGATTTCCTTCCAGAAGGTCTGCCAGAAGAGGCTTTTTCTTTTTCCCGTTATCTGGAGAGGAGGCAACTCCCTGGGACTGCTGGGACACGTCGGCATTTCCAACGCAGGCCAGGTAAGGTCAGGAACCTGAAACCTTCGCATCAAAACCGAGTTAAGCGATGAATTACACGAAACCTCGAGAGGACGGGGAGGTAAGGGAGGCGACTTTGGGTCCCAACACAGCCCCATGAAAGAAGCCAGCAAACAAGCAATGCCTTCCCTCTGGTTCAGGCTCCTTTCTGTGGAGGTACCGACTAGGACACGGGCGCCGCTTAAGGAACTGAATCCTCCCAGAGCACTCCGCAAGCAGCACCCCGTCCGCTTTTCAGCTGGGTGACACAGCGACCCTTTCGGATCCGACCAAAAGCACAGGCCGAGAAACAAGGTTAAACCTTTGCACACAGTGACAATGACAGCAACTACTTCACCGACCGTGACGCTGCAAGGCAACCCTTGCACCTTCCTTTACAGCCTGACGTCGTAACTTCTAGCCCAACAGCACAGCTCGGTTTGGGAGCTGCCAGTGCAGGGCAGCGCATGGAGGTGGTTTTCCAGTGGCGTGCCTTTGCCAAGCTGTTCAGCATGCAGCGATGCCACAGGGGAAGGACCGGAGTTACTGGTCTCCCACAGTGTTCTGATAATGCCTTCTGCCCTCTCCCTTTATTCACAAACTTCTCTGGCTCCCGATACACTGCAGTGGTGCTGCCTCCAAAAAACAAAACTACTACCAAAGACCCTAAAAAACCCAGACGTTTGTCAGAAATACTCCAGAGCCAAACAGGAGCCTCAGCCTGTGCCACAGCAGAGCCTTCCAACCCCAAGCTAAGACTAGAACCGCACTTAGAGCTTCCCACAGGCATCAGCACAGCCACAGACCATCTGCCACATCCCTGCAGTTTCCAGGTCTGTAACAGAACCTGGACCCCTTGCACGCTTTCCGTTCTTTTTCACACCACTTACAATCACTAATACAAAAAATACAGACCAATGAAGATTCATTCACCTTCAACCATCCAGACATCCTGTTCCACTTCCAAGCGTCTGATCGGTTAAACGCAATTTTCCACATTTTTAGGTGGGGGACTGCTCCTTCCAGTTGCTGCGATAAGCCAGGGACTAGGTCAGACAAGCAGACCCTCTGTCCCTCTACCAAGTATTTCTAACCATGTCCAGGCCAACCACTGCGCTCCAGACGGCACAGGAAATGCCCCACATAATAACACTGTTATTAGGCATGGCAATTTAGAAAGTTTTCATCCAACACAGCCCCAAGAACGTTCCCCTGTGACCGTACCAGTTTAGTTAACGGCATTCTCTTTGCTCACATACGTACTTAGGCACGTTACCGTTCATACTGCACACTCTGCAGCTGAAATGCCAGAACTGTCGTTTCACGGCTCACACCGTGACAAACTACTGCTTAAAAAAACACGCGCGTCCCACCCAACAGGTTTTCTTCAGCTTGGCGTTAGCTGCGCCCCTCGAACGAGACGCATGGCGTTGTCAGACGCTCTGCCCTGAACCCCTTAACGCCTCTCTATTTCTGTACCGTTACACATCATCAGTTTGTCCTGTTCCAAGACCTATTCACAAAGCACGACACAAACCCAATTCCCTCCCAAACCTAGGCGCTACACGGATCAGCAGGGACTTTTCTTCAGCTTGGCGTTAGCTGCGCCCCTCGAACGAGACGCATGGCGTTGTCAGACGCTCTGCCCTGAACCCCTTAACGCCTCTCTATTTCTGTACCGTTACACATCATCAGTTTGTCCTGTTCCAAGACCTATTCACAAAGCACGACACAAACCCAATTCCCTCCCAAACCTAGGCGCTACACGGATCAGCAGGGACACGCCTCGCTCCCCGGCCAGCCGAGACTGCCGTCTCCTGTGCTGCACAACCTCGCTACCAACTCCCCAGGCGCCTATGCCTTGGATTTCCAAGCGCAGATTTCACAAGCAACAAAATTCCTTGATGAACTATCAATCAGCAGCTCCTGGTATCGATACGCCTGCTGTACGTATCCCAGGGCATCCATCAGTTCCTGCAGGAGGAGTTCCGTTACCCACATCTCCAGCTGAACACCGATCAGCTCGAATCCGCAGACATCCTTCCTCTGCACACTGAGTCCATCCCACATCCCTTATGGAAAAACTCCATCTCTTCACCTGACCCCGTTCAGCAGCGGTGGCTCACGCAGGGTACTTCTTGGAGCTTTTTTACGTGGCAACCACACACCTTGGAAAACACCATTAGACCATCACGTACATCTCCCGGGAAGCAGGTGCAAGCCTCATTCCTTTCAGAGATCCTGATAGGGCTCAGACAGCGTGGAGAAGCACCTTGAAGGTGAGCTGCCTTATCCAAATTAGTTCATTCCTCATCCAAGCAGGTAATTCCCAAGTGGCTGGCAGGCTGGTCATTTCCTTCTTGACACAATCTCTGTGTCTTAATGTTCTGCTGCCGGTCATTTAAGCCCCACAAATTCTAAATTAGCCAAGATTTCCAAACCTTTTCTTTCTTTCAAGTCTGGGAAATCCACGCTACCAAGCTGTTAGTTGCTTTTGCAGGATGGAGCTGGTGAACTCTTCATACAACAGCTTTCAGACTCCACTTGCTTCTGAGCCAAAAGAAATTTTTACTTCCAACTGGGTTTTATGACTCCTCCGGATCATTCCCAGGTTCTCCCAAGAAGCCATCACACATCAGATTCCTCCTGGCTGGGCTGTTGAGAACTGTAGTAGCTCTGGTTTCTGCAAAGACTTGACCAACAGACGACGGACTCACAAAGACCTCTCTCTACTGAGAGCCCAGCCCTTACCCCCAGCAGTGCTGATGAGGGGCCAGGCGGCAGCCGATGGGAAGCACTCCCCACTGATGGGTTTCTCGTGGAGTCAAGTGTGGTACCATTTACGTGCTCCACATGACTCCCTCTACTTCCCAACCACGGTGCCCGAGGAGCTATCGAATCACCACAACAACTGCTGTGAGCACCCCCAAGGAAAAGCTCCGAGACTCCCACCCAGCTACCCAAAACCCTTCTCCCTCTGCTGCCTGACACCACCGGGAAGAGCCAGAAGTACCAAACTCGGCAGTTTCACCACTGGGTCCTCTGCTGTCAGAGCGCTACAGAGCTGGTTCTTCACCAACACACATCAATGCAGTAACTCTTTTTTTTTTCCAAACAGGCAGAATAGAACAGACACTAGGAAAAAAAAAAAACAGTTTTTATTCAGTTGAAAAGAAGTCATTTACTCAATCACATTAACTATGCTAAAAATGATTTTTTTTCTGACCACACCAGCAGTTAAATATTTTCAGCACCAATTCAGGACACATCAGTGACATTTATCACAACAGGTCTATTTCTCAATGTAGAAGGACGTACTAACTTCAGCAGCTGCTACTGGGAAAGGAGTAAGCAGAAGCCTGCCCTTTCTTTCCAAATACTCATCGGTGAGAGTAGCAACTTCTAGAAATAAATAACTGCCAAATTATCTCCCAAACCTTTAAATCGATCTTTTAAAAATAGAGTTAAAATAGATATCTTAGTATGAGCTATCATAGACTTTATTTTTTATGTGCTGAATACTCCAAAAATGCGAGCAGTAGAGCAAGCATCCAGTACATAACTTTGTAAAATAGTTCTTCCCTCCCCAGTATCAACCCCATTATTTTTTTTTTATCCAAGTCACGCTGGTTAGTTCCCTATCCCTGGTGACTTCCCAGTAAACGCCACGCTGTCCTGTATCGCTGGGATCCGCCACCATCCTATGAGTGAACGAGGTCAGCGACCTGGTGAGACAACACCAACTCAGGCGAACAGGAAAGTCATCCAGCCATTGGCTCGTTCTCTCTGAACGTCAACCGAATTCTAAGCTTTAGTGTTTTTAAAAGCCTTTGCGGT